ACTCCATGGTACTTAACAACAAGTATATTGTTGGAGTACTGGTGTGGTGCTGCGGGTTAATGCACTGGACTGCAAGGTCAATTTAAACCTCAAGGTTGGAAGTTCAAGCTCACCAGCTACTCCTTGGAAACCCTATACAGGGTCTCTATGTTGGAACCGACTTGATGGCACTTAACAACAACAGTATATTGTTGGAGTCCTGGTGTGGCACCATAGGATAAGCACTCTACCTCAAGATTGGTTTGAACTGCAAGTTCGGCAGTTCAAAGTCACTAACTGCTCCTCAGAAACCCTATACAATAGTCAGAACCGACTCGACAGCATTTAACCACAAATATATTGTTATAATCATATTGTTAAGAAAATGCAGATTATTTTTAAAATGAAATAAAACCCTTAGTAATGCTGAACTTTTTGGCAATATGCTGGAAATCATAAATTATCTGGAACAAATTCTATTTTCTTCCTAAATCACCCATTAACAGATGGTACCAAGAAAACTAACACAGTAGCAATTAAATACACTGGTTAAATGAACTATAACATTTAAAAATTTTAAAGAATAAGCTAAATCTACTTTTAAGAAACACATAAACACGATTTCCTGCAACAAATACATAGTGTACCTACAGTTAGCTGCACCTCTCCAGGCTGACTGTCCCCAGTGCCCGCTTCATATTCAGGTACAGATCCAAGACCATATTCTCCTGACATGGGTCTTTTTGCTTCATTGTGAGAAACTGCTGCGTAGAGAAGAATTTTTAAAATTGCAAACCAATCACGATTTGGTTTTAATTATATCACTGCCTGCACTCATGTTTATAAAAAGCTTTGAAAGAGCCTAGAGAGAAGGGTGTTGAAAATCCAGGTATGGGAAGCTCTCTTCATTGATATCATAGAGAAAACTTGCGACTTCATAGTCTTAAACAGTTATCTGTGATTTTTAGTCATTTTAGAGCGAGATACAAGGGGACCTCAAAAAGTTTGTGGAAAAATGGAACTAAAAGGTAATGGAATTTTCCCATGAACTTCTTTGAACTTCTCTCATATATGAGATTAAGGGGCTACTTATGATTCCAGATACCTATTCAGACTATTTCAATAATCTGTGTCTATTTCTTACTCATCGATTTCTACTATGTTGCTAAATTAATGGGGCTATTCTATTTCATTAGGTGCTAACACTTAATGAAAATTCAAACTTCAGACAGAGGGTCTGGTACAGGTCACATTACGCTCCACTACTACTCTACACTGAATGATAAAACCTCTGTTTGATGCTTCTTTTTCCGTGGCACTTATGTAAAGGCTGAAAGCATTCTTACCTGTCATTTTAAGTGATTCTCTCTGCAATGCCCGGCTAACTGGTATTCTCTGGTACCAGTGTCCAACACCTTCAACTTCCCAAAGGAGTTCATGATCTCCAGGATACTTCTCCAAGTACTGCTGGCAAGCTGGAAAACACCAGTCCAGTATAAGCTTGATACCACAGTAACACCAAGGCAACTCAAGAAAAGAAAATTCTACAGCAGCTTCATTTATGAATGTTGTTGTTGTTAAGTACCATGGAGTCAGTTTCAACTCATAGAGACCCTGCACAGGGTTTCCGAAGCTGTAAATCTCTACAAAAGCAGAAGGCCTCATCTTTCTCCCGTGGAATGGCTGTTAGTTTTGAACTGCTGACCTTGACGTTGGCAGCCCGACTCGTAACCACTATGCTACCAGAGTAAAACTCCTAAGGTTTATTTTATTACTATGGATTGATTATGATTCTTGAAATCTGCTAGGACAACTTTCTAGTCCTTATTTATTCCCTCTCTAACAGCTGAGAAAAAAATTAGTAAATATTAGCAATATTTAGTTAATCTTTTAAGACATAAAAAAATGAACAAATACAAGAACTCTGAGAATCAGTCAATGGAGTGACACCACCAATTCTCACCCAATTAATCTCTAAATTCCAATTTCAAACAAAATCCTAACAGGGATTGTTGTTAATGGAATGTGACAAAATTTTAAAACAAATTCAAAATGAAAGGGTCAAGGAAGACTATTCAGGATAATTTTGGAGGTGAAAAATAATTGCAGGAGACTTGTCAGTATCAAGTACATATCACGAACCATTATCCAGCCACAGTACTTAGAAGAGTTTTTGTACAGACATGTAAGCACCACTAGTCTGTCAATATGTCATACTGTGGTAACCTGCATGTTGCTGTGATGCTGGATACTATGCCACTGTATCTAAAATACCAGCAGAGTCACCCATGATCAACAGGTTTCAGCAGAGCTTCCAGATTAAAAGACTAGGAAGAAGGAGAGGCTGACTACTTCTGAATGTTCTGCCACTGAAAACTTGGATGAAAAGCAGATGAACATTGTTAGATATAATGCCGGAAACTGAAACATTATGAATACCACCAGAACACTGTTAGATACAGTGCTGAGAGAAGAGCCCTTCAGGTTAGAAGGCACTCAAAATATGAATGGGGATAACTGCCTCCTCAGAAGAGGCTTGACCATAACGACACGAATGGAGCAAATCTTTTGGAACCTTCATTTGCTGATGGGGCACAACTCAACTCAAAATGAGGAGACACAGCTGCAAACATCTATTAATAATCGGCACATGGAATGTATAAACAAGAACTGTTGATCGTGGACGTGTAGATAAAGACTGTACTGCAGTTATCCTCTGTGCTGACAAAGAAGTCCACAACATCGTCAATCTTCCAAGACAAAGTTCACCAACGTCACGAGGAATCATCTCATTGCATCTCGTCTCATCACACCAGATCGCGGTCATTTCCCCACTGTGTGTTAACACTTTCTCAGCATGTTAACATGCTCCCAGCCTGCCTGGCACTGACTGGCCTTTGAGTCACCACACTACAGGCAGGTGGGCCTTGGAAACCCAACAGGAAGCAGATGTGTCTGTCCCATCATGGCACTCACATGTGTCCTAGCTCATAATCGACATTCCTTGCTTGTTCCTCAAAATTGACGTTTTTATTATTATTCACTTAATTTATGTTGCTATGTAAACGGCCCCTATATTTATTGAATTTTGAGTCCCGCCTATGGTTGCCTAGACAGGGCCAGACCAAATGATTTTGGTGGTTAGATGCTCCCCATGCCTGGCTCTACACCCGACTTTGGTGAGTAGGGTCTGGAATATTAAAAGCTCAGGAGCGGCCCTCTATGGTGCAGCTACTGGTCTCTCCATGTACAAGGTAAGAAGAGTGATGAAAACTGAAGACATTTGGAATCAATGAGTCCAACAGATTGAAGGACCATGTGAACATCAGTCTCCATGGTTCTGAGACCAGAAGAACTAAATGGTTCCGGCTACCACTATCAACTGCTCTGAAAGGGATCACATGAAAAGATCCTGAATACAGTGGGAAAAATTATGGAACTAAACTCAAAATTATTTAAAAAAAAAAAAAAAAATGATCAGGCTTACTGGTGAGAAAGATACTGGAGGAACCTGAGGCTATGGTCCTCAACTACCCCTCAGGTCTAGAAGGAAGTCACCTGTGACACAGTTTTCAGCCAAGCAGTAGACAGGCATGTTGGGCAGATAACACCACTAGTTAGGTGTGCTCACAGTGGAATAATGGTCAACCACTCCAAATCAAAAGGGCAACATTTACCTAAAGGACAAATGTGAAGGGATGTGAAGGTTGGTGGAAGGAAATGGGAACCATAGAGAGGAAGCCGGATGCCTATTGTTGCATTCATTGAGATGAAACAAAGTGCATGGTTTGTGGAATGTAAAACTGATGATCTTTGCTGTAAACCTTCATTCAATTCACAATAGTTAAAAAAAAGAAAAAGAAAAAGAAAGTGGTACGCTAAAGTCTAATAATTACTTTTCACTTTTAAATGATTCTTACTCACAAAAGTATACAAATAATAAAATGAAACACATAGACTCTCCTCTCTAAATTGATGGAAAAAGTAAAGAACGCGAACCCACCAAGATTTTATATACAAAAAAAGAAAATAAATGATATAGACCTGAAATTTATTTGGCATTCAAATTATTTATCATTAGAATCCTAGGACAAAGTATGGATTAAGAGACTGACTGCAATGTATCTCTTCGCATACTTTCCCCCAAATTTGGTAAAGTGTACTTGGACTTTGAGGATAGAGAGGAATTCACACCAATATTAGGCAAGGGCTAACGGTGCTTCTCCTACTCTCATCTATGGGTCTAGAGAGAAACTATGATTCAAGATGGCCATGGAACATGTGGTTCCTGCTTGCTTTGATATTAAAAAGGGAAGGATTCGGCTATACAAATGGGCAAAGAACACAGGAAAAGATATTTAGCATCATTAGTCATCAGTGAAATGATTATCAAAAGTGAGATACTACTTCAAACTCACCCAGATACCTATGAGCAGAAGAATGGGAAAGCTAAGTGTTGGCAAGGATGTAAAAAAACTGGGCCTCTCATTCATAACTGGTAGGATTCCTTGCAACAACTGTGTAAAACAGCTTGACAGTTTCTGAAAAAATTAAATACAGAATTACATGAGCTAGGATTTCCACTCCTAGGTATATACCCAGTGTCATGAGAAATGGAGAAAAGACTGAATTTGCCAAAGACTTCATTTTGCTTGGATCCACTATCAACACTCATGGAAGCAGCAGTCAAGGAATCAAGACATATTGCAGCATTAGGAAAATCTGTTGCAAAATACCTCGTTAAAGAGTTCAAGAGCAAAGATGTCAGTTTGAGGACTTAGGTGTGCCTGACTCTACCAATGGCAATTTCAATTGTCACATTACGCATGTGAAAGTTGGACCGGGAATAAAGCAGACTGTAGAACAATCGATGCATTTGAGTCATGGTGTTGAAGAAGACTGCTGAAAGTACCAGACTGCCAGAACAAACAAATTTAATCTGACTTGAAAGTACAGTCAGAATGCTCCTTTAAAGTGAGACTGGTGAGACTTTGTCTCTCACACTTTGGACATGTTACTAGTGGAATCAGTCCCTGGAGAAGGACATCATGCTTCATAAAGTGGAGGGTCAGCGAAAAAGAGCACAACCCTCACTGAGATGGACTGGCACAGTGGCAGCAACAATGGGCTCAAATGTAACAACTGTGAAACACAGGGCAGCATTTCCTTCTGTTGTGCATAGGGTCACTATGAGTCGGAGTGACTTGATGACACCTAACAACGAAGAACTGAAAGCAGAAACACATACAGAGAAACTTGCACACCAACATTCACTACACTTCTCACAATAGCCAAATGGTGGACACAACCTAGAAGTCTATCAAAGGAAGAGCAAATACACAAAATGCAATGTATCTACACAATGCAATATTACTCGGTCATAAGGAAAAATAAAATTCTTATGGATGAATCTTGAATACAACATGATGACACAGGCACAAAGTGACAAATATTGTTTGTTTCCTCTTCTATGAAACATCTAAGAAGCTCCCACTTTTATGAACTATCTAGAGAAGGCAAATGCATAGAAATCAAAGTTTACTAGTAGTTACCAGGGATGGGAGCTGGGGAAAAGAGGGAATTCTCACTTTAAGGGCACACTGAACTTGTGTTAAAGGACATGAAAACATCTGAAAATGGATAATGGTGATGGTTACACAGCACGGTGACCACAATTAGTGTCCCTGGATTGTACATGTCAAAAAACATTTTTAAAAATCATTTGGTTCCTGCTGTTGTTGTTAAGTGCGGTCAACTCATAGCAACAATGTATCATTGGGTTTCCAAGGAGCAGCTGGTGGGTTTGAACTACTGGCCTTGAGTTTAACAGTGCAGTGCTTATCACCAAACCAGGATTTTTACCACAATTTTAAAAATAAAAAATAAAGAGGGAAAGGGCCTGTAATATTTTCAAAGAAAATAAACATTTGGTAAAATAAAATCAATGGCAAATTATATCTTATTAAGTTTCCAAATAAATTATTTTCCATGCATAAAGTTTAATTTTGTTAGGAACACAATAGTTGTATGAGTTAACAATTGCAAAAAGGAATTAACTAACACTTTTAAAAACATTATTATACCCTATATACATATAATTGAATACTTAACAGCATTAAACATGAATAAAAAGAACTAAATGATTCAACCTAGATCATTCTCATAAATATAAAGCTAAGTGAAGAAAGAAAACTGAAGAAAAATTTAGAGTTTCATACTGTTTTTAGTTTTAAAATATGCAAAACAACACAATATATTGTTGTTAAACACCATGGAGTCAGTTTTGACACATAGCTACCCTGTATAGGTTTTCCAAGAGCAGCTGATGGGTTTGAACCACTAACCTTTTAGTTAGTTGTCCAATGCTTATCCAACAATGCCACGCCAACATATTGCTTAATCAAAAGTGTAAGAAATACGTGGTGCTAAACTCAGGATACTGCTGTTGTTGTAGTTAAATGACGCAAAGTTTGTTCTGACTCATGTTGTTGTTGTTAAGTGCTGTCGAGTTAGTTCCGACCCATTGTGACCCTGTACAGGGTTTCCAAGGAGCAACTGGTGTGACTGAACTGACAACCTTGCAGTTCAAACAACTTTGCAGTCCAGCGCAAAGATGCCACACCAAGAAGCTTTAATAGGGTTTCCAAGGAGTGGCTGGTGAATTTGAAACACCAACTTTGGTGTTCAAACCAACCTAACAGTCTAGTGTCTATCCTACAGCTCCATACCAGGACTCCAGATCCAAGGCAGTGCGTATATATCAGGGAAGGGAAGAACCTGTATATATGAGAACCTGTATATATGAGGCACTCTGTTGCCTGAGTATTTCTCACATTACTCTTTATACCTTTTTGTATGTCTGAATTAAATTCAAAAAGCTACAACATGCACACATGCAAAAAAAAAAAAAGCACTTTTAAAGTAGGCAAAGGATTTAAAAGATCATTTTACCAAAGAAAAAACAGTTTGTCAACACATGAAATGATATTCACCAGCATCACCCATTGTTGTTCTTGTTAAGTGTCATGGAGTCAATTACAACTCTGAAACCCTGTAGAGGGTTTCAGAGGAGTGACTAATGGGTTTGAACCCCCGATCTCATGATTAGCAGCTCAGTACTTATCCTACAGCACCACACCAAGGGTCCTAGTACTCATTAAGTAAACACAAAACAAAAACTGTAATGTGATGCTGCCTCTCTAGGATGGCTGTAATAAAAAAGACAAACTACAGTTCTACTGAGGTGGTGAAGGAGCTCTGGTAGTATAGTGGTTATGAACCAGGCTGCTAATTTCAAGATCAGCAGTTCAAATCTATGAGCGGTTCCATGGGAGAAAGATGAGGCTTCTACTCCTGTAAAGATTTGCAGCCTTGGAAATCGTATACAGGTCGCTATGAGTCAGAACCGACTTGAGGGCACTTAACCACCACCAGTGAGGAGGTGGGAATGCAAAATGGTGGTGGGAATGTACTTTGCACAACCGTTTGGCAGTTCTGCAAAAGGTTAAACACAGTTATTATATGACTCAGCAACTCCATTCCTACCTATGTCCCCAAGAGAAATAAAAACATATTTGCATAACACCTGGACATAAATGTCCACAACAAGTCAAAAAGTAGAACAAACCTAAAAATCAATCGACTATTGAACAGATAAAAAAATGCAATAGTACTCAGCCATAAAAATACATAAAGAACTGATTCATACTACAACATGAAAG